GTGGGCAGGCAGAGAAGCACCACACAAGAAATTGATTCCATTAAAAAGTAATCTTAAATTTAATAAAAGTTATGATTTGATTATAGCCACAGAACCTACAGGCAAGAGGGAAGGGGGGATGGATTCCAGTGATGGATAAACAGAAAGAAAAAAAAAAAACAAGAAGGCAGGGAGGAGGGGAGGAGAGAGAGATGCTTAGGTTTGGATGGATGAGAGGATGGAAAGACCTGGGGGTGGGGAATGAGACCATTTTCTCTCCCTCAGATGGAAGAAAAAAGCCTGTGGCTGGTTTCCAAAGAGGAAGCAGAGTGAGGAGTAAGTGAAGAGATTCAAAGAGCTCTTGGGAATAGGGCAGTTGGAGGAGGCTGGTGCTTGGAGGCAAGGCCAGGAGATGGGGTTATGCAGGAGGGATGTCCCCAAGACCTGGGGATGTAGGCAAGGAACACAAAGCACCAATTTAGCAGTCAGACAGTCAGTCCTGGGTTTAAATTCCAGGTCAGCCTCCTCCTAGCAGCACTACTTAACTTTTCAGACCCTCAGTTTCTTCATCTGCTAAATGGACCTATGGAGATAGTGTCTACCTACACACCTCACAAGGTGGTCGTAAGGAGGACTGAAACCGTGCAGACGCGGTATCGGGCTTCTCCTCGGTGCCCAGTAAAGTATCCTTTGCTTCCTGTCCCTCCCCCTTCAGGGTCATCACCCCCACACTGCCCCCTCCCATTTATTTGCAGGCATTAGTCAATCCTACTCCTTTAAAAAGAAAAAGTTTATTTATTTATTTATTTATTTATTTATTTATTTATTTAGTAATCTCTACACTCATTGTAGGGCTCGAACTCATGACCCCCAGATCAAGAATTGCACACTATTTTGACTGAGCCAGCCAGGAACCCTAATCCTATTCCTTTTTAAAAATTCTTTTTGCAGTGGTAGGGCCTAAATGGACCCCATCTCCTACCTCATCATAGGGAGTTTATTCTTATACTTTGTCCTTTGCCCATCTCTCTAGAGCATGAATAAGGGCATGGACAAAGCAGGGAAGCCTCATGTTCTAGAACTTACTTCCATTATGGGCTAAGGGATCACCTGGAGGACACATCTCCCTGCCAAATCCCAGAATCATGCTTAGGCATAGCGCTGAAACCCTCTGGGCGCTTGGGTGAAGTGTTCCTTGGGTGAGCCTGTGCAGGCCCAGCCCTCAGCTGCCATAATCAGCTCCTGTTATGCACAACATTCAGCTTTTCATGCAAGCTTCCTGTTAGTTCTTCCAAAGAGCCCGGGCCCTGTCTTCAAGCCGGGCAGAGGGAGCCAGGGGCCTGCAGGGTCAGCATCAGCACCCATGAGTGGGGCCTGGGCAGCAAGCCAGGACTTCACTGTGAAATGCTAAGTGAGGAGAGAGCCAGAGATCCCTGCTACCCCAGAGTCCAGGAATTGGGAACCAGGAAATACAGTCATGGTAACAAGAGCCTCCAGGGGACACAAGAAATCATTCTTGGGATAATGTGACCAGTTCTGTTCAGTCATCTTCTCCCCTCCCAAGCTGTTTTTAGCATAGTAGTACCATCTGAATTCTCTCTCACCCTTTGGCATGTTAAAGACACCTGCTGGTTCAAGAGATTGAGGAAGATAGAACTGGTAGTATCAGCTTCTCCATTTTACTGATGAAGAAATTGAGGTCAGAAAGGGCAAGCCATTTCCCCTAAACCACACAGCTTGCAATAGATAGATCTGGAACTGAAACCCAAGTGTTCAGACTCAGATCACAGAACTCGTTCTTACCAGGCCCCCACAGCCTCCCCAACCAAGCCATCACTCATCATGACTACATCTACTGGAGCCCTTGTCACCATTGCTGTCACCAGGCTGCTCAGCTCCACCTCTTTTGCCAAACTCACCCCTTTGGTCCCTATTGTAGGAGTGTCTGGGCTTACACACTCATCTTCTTCCAGGAAGAGCAGCTCAGTCTTGGATTCCATGGCCCATGTAGTCTCCAGAAGGAAGGGTCAATGGCCCTGAAGCTTGGGAGAGGGGGCCTCAAGAGAGCAGAGCACAGCAACCTGTAGCTAAGGGGCCCTAAGATTGCCGGCATCTTTCTGGGACTGTGGACACAATCTGGCCATTACCCCCAAAGGATGGCCTCCCCCACCTGCTTTCCAGACCCTTCACGGAACTACTTTCTCTTAAACAGAGATGGATGGGCATGTCCTGGGCAAGGGTCTCCAGCAGGGCAGCCCTGCAGGTTTCCTCGAGCATGCACCTTGGCTCCCCAAGACAGAGATCTCACTCTGCTGCCCGACCTCAATCCTGTCTGCTGCATGTATCCTTGGTCTGTTCTCTGTGCACATGGCATTCCATACTCCCTATGATCAAATCCAGGCAGCCCACTTTTTTTCTTGAGGAAGGTTTTCTTCCTGTTCCTCTGCAGAGACAGAACTTGGAGGGCAGTGACCAGGGTAAAGGGATCGTTTAGTGAAAGTTTCTCCAGCAGATGACCCCCAGCCTATGTTATCAAAAGCATATCTTCATGCTTTACTTGGAATGGTTCCTAGCTCCAAGTATTCGCTAGGTGACCTTTAGAAGGAGCCACCATGGAGTCCTGACTTCTGCGTGACATTTACTAATCACCTTCCCCAGCCTTTCCCCAGAGCTGGCCACCCAGGATGAATGAAGTTGGGGGTCTATGCAGGGAAAGGGTGCTAACATTACCCAAGAGCTTACTGTGTGCCAGGCCCATACTAGAGGCTTTACCTAGAGATGCCATCTGATCCTTGCAACAGCTTTGTGGAGCAGCTCTTATGGTCCCCCACTTTGCAGTTAAGGAAACAACAACTCAGACAGGTTAAGTGACTTATCCAAGGTCACACAGGAAGAAGATGACAGGGCCAAGATCTGAACCTGAACATGTCTGATTTGGAAGCCCTTGCTCTTTCCACCCCAGGTGACTTGATCCCTGGATCATCCCCAGGGAGGGCTCCTTCACAGGCAAAAGGTCTCCAGTCCTACTTGGCAGTGTCTTTCACAGTGGAAAACTCATACACACTTCGAGCCAACAATCTCCTAGGAATGAATCCTCAAGAAACACTCATATATGTGCACAAGATGTATTAGGTGTGCATAAGATGTGTTAGGTGTCCACTGCACAAAATGTATTAGATGTTTAGGTTATATGTGCAACAGACAAAAATTAAAATTAGGGGTACCTGGCTGGCTCTGTCTGAGGAGGGCACAGCTCTTGATCTTGGGGTCATGAGTTTAAGCCCATGTTGGGTGTAGAGATTAAATAAACTTAAAAATAATTTAAAAAATAAAATATTTTTTAAAATATCCAAAACAACCTAAATGTCCATCAGTAAGGGATTAGATAAATAAGCAGAATTACCATGAAGCTGGAAGAAAGGATGAGGCAGACCTTAACTGGACAGGATCGAAATCTCTCTAAAATAGCAAGTTAGGGGAGGAGAAAGACTGCATTTGAATCCGTGTATGTTCATACACATTGTATTTTATGTATGCATACATATTACATATATGTATTTTGTTTGTGTAGATTTTTTTCTTAAGGCATCAATTGTTTCCCAGTAAGGGGAAGTGGGAAATGGTGGGGAAGTATAGAGAGTTGAATAACTTCTGGGGTGCCTGGGTGGTTCAGTTGGTTAAACATCTGACTCTTGGTTTTCACTCAGGTCTTGATCTCACAGCTCGTGGGATCAAGTCCTGCATCAGGCTCTGTGCTGACAGTGCAGAGGCTGCTTGGGTTTCTCTCTCTCTGTCTCTCTCTCTCTCTCTCTCAAAATAAATAAACATTAAAAACAAAGAGAGAGTTAAATAACTCCCAGGCACCAGGAATCAGACCCTCCACCCTCGCTGTGTTTTTTAAGGCTATGTCCATCCTTTGACCCCAGAGGGTTCCAAGCACAGACATCCGTGTGCCTGTGACAAGGGAAGAGAGTTTCTTATCTTTGCTGGGCATGACTTCCTCCTGCCATCCCCATCCCCACCTGGCATCTCCTACTAGCAGTGCAGACAAGGCTCCAGGAGATCTTCTCCTTAGGTTATAATCAATAGGTTTTCCATACATTTTGCCATGCCAGGGTAAGGGGGAAAGTTGGAGTCATCCGGTGATGTGTTGGAGTTGTGCAACTCCATGTCCTGCCCCATATATGAGCCAAGCTTGTGACTTTGTTCCTCTTGTCTCTTGTTCATCACTAAGTTTAATGTTCTGTAAATGAGGTGAAATCTGGGGACATCTGATAAGGAAGGGGTTGGGAAGATGCTGAGTGCATGTGATCAGCAGGGATTGGTTGAATGTTTTCATTTGTCTTTAAATATCTGTCTTGGAATGAAGTTTACATCATAAGAGCTATTAGCAGGGACATCCGTTGCACCTGGGTGCTGACCGTCAAGATAAACTCCAACTGACCGTGACTTCCTCCCCACGCCGTGCAGATCCACACCGCATACACACTGGGGGTCAGATGGACTTCTGTCATTACACAGACAGATACGATAGCTTGTGTACCAGTACCACCTCAGATTGGCCCACCTGTAGAATCAACTTTGGCTGTGTGTTCTTTCCAATAAATTCTGGTATCCTGCTTCACTGTTGAATGTAGTTTCAGTGATCTTCATGCACTCCCCACCCCCCACACATACACCCCTGCTTTCCCAACAGACTCTGTCCTCATTCCTGCAGGTACTTGTCTCTCCCCCTCTCTCCTTTGTTTCTCTAAGCTGACTTAGAGTCTCTTGGATAAAAATCCAACTCAAACTGGCTTAAGCTTTTTTATGCACATAACTGAAAAGCCCAGCTGTAAATTTCAGGCATAGCTGGATCCAGGCACTTGATCATTTGGCATCTGTCTCTCTCCAACTCTCAGGTCTGCTCTCCTTTGTGTTAGATTTACTTTCTGGTAGCTCTTCCCCAAGTGTTTTAAATAGCATCAGGCTTAAACCTACCAGGGTGGTAAACCCCATAGAAAGCACACCTTTTCCAATGGTTTAGTGCTGATCATACTGGATCACCTTTTATTGAATCATGTGGCCCAGGGATGAAAGGCACAGATGGGCCAGCTCCAGTCCTGAGCTGCACCCTGAGATCTCGGCTAGTCGGGGGTAAAGTCAGCCCTTCCTAAACCACATGGACAGAAGTGAGGAAGGGATGGTTGCCTAGGGAAAATATGGGTGTGCTTAGCAGCAGAAGGAAGATGGGAAAGTGGGATGGCAAACCAACATGGTGCTTACTTGGAGGAAGGCTTCACTTGACCAGTTCTTAGTTGTCTCTCTTGAAAAACTGGGTGTGGCATCCAGATGGATTCTCTGTTCTTGGACGTCTCACAGCCTGGCTTCCTCTCACAGCCTTGAGCAGGCGACCTGGGTTAGAGCAGCTCCCACATCTTTCAATGTCATTGCCATTCTTACCACTCCTTTCCCTGTTTCTGCTCCCATTGGAGACTCTGTGGTATAGAGCCAGGCAGGGAGGGAGGTAAGAGAAAGGAACAGATAGGATGGAAATGAAGAGAAGGAAAGAGAGGCAGAAGCCCAAGAGCAAACTTACAAAGCTGTGCCAGTGCTGGGTGCCTTGGCCCCCCCTCCTCCTCCCTCCCACATCCCCCAGCCTATGAGTGGTATGTCACAGCTTAGCTGTGCCAGCACCCTGGATGGGCTGGGCTCCAAGCCCCCACTGCTTTGTCAGGGTATCATTATCCCTATTCTGCAGCTCTTGTCACCTGGAGGTTCTTTCTTCTCCTCTGGCCCACACACGGAACCTGCACACAGGTGCCTCTGTGTTTGTCTCCTGTCTGACACCTCTTAATTGCCACCACCTTTGGGGCCCTCTCCATGGCTGCACAGCCAGTGCCTTTGCCCCGATGTGTGCTATCCCTGTCCCAAACCCTTTTCCCCTCCTCTTGCCTCTTTCTGACTGGCTTCTCTAGGACTAGAGAGACAGCCAAGACCTCTGCTCCAGGGAGCCTCCTTGTCCTCCCTGGGAGGGCATTGGTGGAGAAGCCAGAGCTCAGGGGAGGCACAACCAGGCTCCTGGGCACATCCACTCAACTGACCACCCGGTAAGAACTGAGCAAGCACCCAGTGTCTCATCTGTGATATCCACAGTCTTCTCCACAGCTTCAGATTCGCTGCTCCTTTACTTGTTATCCTATGCAGAAGACCCACTTTCCCTGGGTCCCCTGTCTTTGTCTAGCTGTGCAACTTTTCCTGGGGTTTTGGAGACAGCAAGGGCCCTGAGTGAGATCTGCCTCCAGTTCACTGTGGAAACCTTGGACAAGTCTCTTGCCCTCTGGGCTCCTCAGTTGCTCCACAATGAAGAGGTTGAAACTAGATCAGGGAAGTAAATTCTGGCACACATGCCACCATTTCTAATCCAGTGCCCATGGCAGACATTGCTAATCAATAGTAGCACTCTGTTCTCAGGACACACTCCAGGCAGCTGCTACTCATCATTCAGCATTAACTTGTGACTTGAAACTTCTTTGCCACTCTGGGCTGGTTGATCTCTAAGGGCCCTTCCAACATTGACAGTCAAGGATGCTTTTGGCCTGGTTGAATCAATATCACTCCCCTCACTTCCCATTTCTCCCTCCGGCTCATTCTTTTGATCATCCCCATTCCTCTCCCTCTCTCTTCTTGCCTTATTTCTAAGCTCCTGCTGCTGAGTCCATGTAAACCCTAGATGATGTCTGGGTCTCCAAGGTTCTGTTTACTGTCACTCAACTGCAAGCTCCTTGAAAGTTACATTTTCCAGGCAGTCACACTTACATATGTTGGGTGGTTCCGTGGCATTGGCTCTGGGGAGGGAGGCAGTGATAGAGACACCAGAGATAGTCAGAGGAGGAGCAGGGTTGATGTGACCAGAGAGATATTAAGAAAGAGATAAAGGGTGGGCAGACAGAGGGGCTAGAGTTAAATTTATGTATTAAGACCATACTGGTAGAAATACGGAGGGGCAGTTCGAATGGAATTTATCCTGGACCCCCAAGGTCACAGTGGGAGGGAGGACCAGGTAGGATCTAAAAGAGAAGGTCAAAGGGGGCATGTAAATTAGTTGACAAACATTAAGTGGGCAAAAGGATTCTTTGATTTGAAGGCGCTATTAAGAATTGTGATGGGGCAACTGGGTGGCTCAGTTGGTTAGGCGTGGGTCTTCGGCTCAGGTCATGATCTCATGGTTTGTGAGTTTGAGCCCCGCATTGGGCTCTGTGCTGACAGGGCAGGCAAAGCTTGCTTGGGATTCTGTCTCTCCCCTTCTCTCTCTCTCTCTCTCTCTCTCTCTCTCTCTCTCTCTCTCTTTCTCTGCCCCTCCTCCACATGCTCTTTCTTTCTCTCAAAATAAATAAATAAACTTAAAAAAAAAAAAAGAGTTGTGATAATGATAGGGACTTTTGGTGGGCGCTTCCTGCATATAAAAGCATCCAGTAGTTATTGATCAGAAGAGTTTGGTACAAGAAGGTGAGTGCTGGCCAGCAGCCAATTAGAGGCTAAAAGCAAAGCCTCACCGAAGTGGCAGGACATGTCTGTTCCATCAGAACTGCTTAGAGCAGTTTCAGAATTTCAGGAAGTCCTGCCCACTTTATCTGAGGAGCATATGAACATGCACAGGGGCCAACCAGCTGGGAGAAGAGTGACCACAAGAAAACCACGTATCTGCAGGCCTGGGTTCAAATCCCAGTTCATTTACTTACTAACTGTGAGATTATGACCTCAGATTTCTCATCGTTAAAATAAGGATAAGCAACATCTAACTCATAGGGTCATCGTAAATGTTAAATAAGAATGTGTGTTGGGATTGGCCAGCTGGCTCAGTCAGAGTGAGCAACTCTTTTTAAAATTTTTTTTTCAACGTTTTTTATTTATTTTTGGGACAGAGAGAGACAGAGCATGAACGGGGGAGGGGCAGAGAGAGAGGGAGACACAGAATCGGAAACAGGCTCCAGGCTCCGAGCCATCAGCCCAGAGCCTGACGCGGGGCTCGAACTCACAGACCGCGAGATCGTGACCTGGCTGAAGTCGGACGCTTAACCGACTGCACCACCCAGGCGCCCCCAGAGTGAGTAACTCTTGATCTCAGGGTCATGAGTTCGAGTCTGTAGAGATTACTTAAATAAAGAAATAAACTTAAAAAAAAAAAAAAAGAATGTGTGTGAAGTACTCAGCACAGTGTCAGGCTTGTGACTGATAATAAACAGTAGCTGGTAAGTTGGTGATGCTAGCCAGCATTATTATGGTGGGTGATGACCCATCTAAGGGGTCCCAGGAGTGACTGCCTAATCCACTCACTTTATATATACCAGGTGCTGGCCTGTTTACCTGTGTTACCAACTTTACTGGTGTGATTCTCCCGGGCACACCATCTAATTCCCCTATGACAGATATATCTTGTCTAAACCGAAAAGGCTGCAATTCAAAATGCCTGCTCTTGGGTGGGGATTACCAATGGTGTAGGACGAGCTGGACAGCTCCCCTCGGGCCTGAGAGGAAGGGCTGGTTGTTGCCTACCACGCAAAAGCCAGGTGTGGAGAATAGCGCCAGGGTTGGGTGACCGGGCCTGGGAAGGGGCTCCAAGATGCTGGCAAGAGGGGCTGCTTCTCAAGTTAGTCTTTGTCTCCTTTGCAGTCGTGCTGTGGGCTTCCCAGTCCAGGCTGCCAGCCTGCTCAGCAGCCCCTCCTTCGAGAAAGGAAATGGGAAGGCAAACAGTTTGTGCTGCTGCCTGTGAGGTTGCTGCAGGAGTCTGCCTGGCTGGGGTTAGCAAGGGCCAGCCAGGCTGTGGGCCAGCGGTGGGGGTGCTGGGGACCGGGATCCCAGGATGAGGCTGATGGGGCAGCTCCCCAGATCCCCCCAAGCTGACCTCTGTCGTTTTGCTGAGGCTTGAACTGAGGTGGTACGAATGGAATGAGCCAGGGCCCGTTGAACCCCATGTGTTCTGTGCATGTGTCTGCCAACATGCAGAAAGAAGGCCCAGGCCAGGTGGGAAGAAAGCCCAGCCTCCCGGCAGGCTTCTACCCGCAGGACGTGAGTGGTGCCCACTTGAGCCTTGACACCACAGTTATTTTGAAGATGCCCCATCAGCAGGGCACCGTGCCCTCAGGCCACGACACAGAGCCAAAGAGGAAAAGCTAGGGAGTCACACAGCCATGGGTTCGGATCCCAGCTTTGCCATTTACTAGTGTGACCTAAGGCTAGCACCGGCTCTGTGAGCAACCTGTGCCTCAGTTTCCTCCCCTATAAGTTAAGGGTAATAAAAATGGGCTCCTGACAGGATTAAGTGAGAATGATGCATACGTAGTATTTGGCCCAGGTCTGGCACAGAGCAAGTGCTTGAAAAATATTACTATTATTCTTCTAATTATGACCATTGTTCATGAGGTCCCAAGATGTGTTACTGAGCAGTTACACAAATTCCAGCCCAGGAAGTTCATCAGGCCCAGTGTGGGAGTGGATCTTATCAAATCCAGTGTGATTTGGTCCTCGTCCTTCTGCCACCCTGAGGAAGTGGCCGGGACCAGTCATAGAGGAGCTGAAGTATCCCTGCAGGACACTGCAAAACCCCCTCTCCCAGGGCTACCTGATCATACAGCCGGGAAACAGAAAGAGATCTCAGATGATGCCCCTCCTTGACCCCTTCAGCCTTTGTCCTGGCCAGGGTCCACGGGGAGGCAGAGGGATAAAGAATACATGTGCTGCCCATGGTGGCTGTCTGCCTACTCCTGGGAAACTGAGCAGGGACTAGGCCCAAACCTGCTGGAATTTCCCTGGGTTTCAGTCCTGACAGGATGTCAGAGCTGGCCATGGCAAGAGACAGCCCGCTAGTTCTCCAAGCAGTGAGAAAGCAGGAGGGGAGCCATCACTTACGATTTCAGACAGAGGAGCCCATGAGGGGCCCCCACACCCTCTCTTTTGGGGCCCATCCTCCTCCTCTTGCCTTCTTTCTCTTTAGGAACAGACTGTGTTCCTGTGTTTACCTGAGAGGCAGGGGGTGGGGGCGTTGCTGCGTCTGGGTATTTCTCCATATGTGGGTCCTTTCTCCACCCCGGCGGATGCCTGGGCTGGACTGTATATTTCCGGAGTTGCCTACTTGAATCCCAAGCTTTTATTTTTAGAAGATTACAAATGCGGGGGCTGGGAGGAGGGGCCTGGGGGCCCAGCGCCAGGGTGGGGGAAGAAGTTCAGGGGTCTGAATATAGTGACTGTGGGACAGAAGTGAAGTTAGGCACTAAGGGGAATAAGTGAGATGGTGGGGAAAATGAGGTGAGGAAGTAGGGAGATCCCACTCAACTAGTGCCCTGGAGTGATGATCAGAGTCTTTTCTGGCTGGGCTGGGTCGGGGGGAGAGGGGAGGGGAGGCTTGTGGAGGGGGATGTGTCAAGGGTCACCTCTTAGGCATGTAGCTGGATCCCCAGGGAGGCTGAGAAGCCTGGGAAAGAGACAGAGAAAGTCTCCCTTCCCCCTCCCTGGGCCTTGGGGACTGGGAGAGCAGCTTCCTGCACTGACTACTCCTACTCCTCAGGCCCCCCAGGCTGGGGACTGGCCGGGGACAGCTTAACCCTTCTGGTGCTGGTATCAGGGAAAGGAGAGAGCAACACAGAGGTGCACACATCTTCTCACACGGGTGGCCCCCACAGGTGCAAGCTTCCTCTTGCTGTCCTGCTCAATACACTCATCCCTGGGTCCTGACCCCACAGCCCCAGATGGCCTGAAGCGGCCAGGATTCAGGAGGTTCTTTTCTCCCAGAGCACAGAGGGAAATGGGGGTGCTGACCCCAGGGATGGTTGGCACAGCATCTGCTCCTTCCCCAGTGGGTGAACCCAAAGCTTACAGGGTTAGTGAGTCCCCATCCTACAATGAAGGGGAGGCCCTGGGCTGAGAGGAAACTTCAGGTCAAGCCAGGAGACCTGGTGTGCCTGCCTGTTTCTGTATAACCTTGGGTAGTCACTTAACCCTCCGGGCTTCAGATGCAGCCTCTGAGAAACATGAGGAAATTAGACCAGAATGGTCTTTCATTCCCTGGAGTTCCAAGACCAAGGCAGCCCTAAGTTCCCAGACATGGAAGTTCAGGGCCTTCCTCTCCACCTGTTCCATGAAGGCAGGAAGCCATTTGCTTTCTTCAGCCCGGAGTAAGCGTGCCCAGCGTGGTGCCTTGCACATACTCCTCCAACTAGCCGTGATAAACAAGTAAATAGATGAATGACCCACCCTTGACTTACAGACTTTTTCCACTGTCTCCTCAAGAGCATTAGACTAAGAGTCAGCAAGACCTGGCCTGGGTTCAAATTCTGACTGTTACTCACCAGCTGTGAGGCTTGGGGGCACAAGCCCTTCCAAGCCTCAAGTGTATTTATCTGGAAAATAGGAGCTAGCAGTAAAACACTTACCTTACAGACTTGTCAGGATTAAATCCAAAGAGCTTTTGTAAACTCTAAAGTGATTATACAAAAGCAAGAAGCACACTGTTACCGGTAATATTGTTTTTAATCCTAGACCTGGTTCAGAGGGATGGTTCAAAGGGATGGTGGTCTTAAGCCTGAAGGATCTTGATAGTCAGATAGGTGTCTAACCTCTCCAGGCCTCACTTTTCCCATCTGCAAAACGGGGATTATGATCGTGCCTACAGCAGAGGGTTGTTGTGAGTGTCAATGAGAGAGTACATATACAGGGTTTGCAGAATCTCTGGCACGTGGCAATCTCCACAAATAGTGGCTGCTATTATTTTCACCTCGTCTCTCCATTAATTCTTCCAGCTTCCTCACCCCCAGCCTCCCACCTGAAGGAAGTGGATCTTTCACCCTTACCTTCTGTTCATGACTGCAGATAGTGGATGAAAACATCTAGCAGAAGAAGCTGCCTTCCTCACAGTCCTTAGAGGGGGCAGAGCAGGAGTGAGTGTTGCTGAGGAGAGGCCAGAAGATGAGGGCAGTGTGTGTGTGGAAGGGAGGAATGGGGGTCGGAGACCGTCCCAGCACCCTCCCCAGCAACCCAGGATTGAGGCCACTCCGCCTGCCAGGCTGGGCGGCAGTGATGTTGGGAGCTGCTTATCAGGTTAGAGCGGAGCCGCTGTCTCTGGCTGTCTCTGCACATTACCCAACCCATCCGTCCCGCTCTCCAGCGCGCCCTGCCTGCCCCCAGCTCTGCCTGCGCTAACTAGTTAATTGGATCTTAGCTAACCTGGTTATGGGCCAAGTCAGCCCAGCTCCTCTGCCTCCAGAAGCACAGGTGGGGGCAGGGCAGAGCGCTGTGCATGTGTGTGTGCAAGCATGTGTGCCTTTGGGTAGCGGCCTGTCTTGGAGCCCTTGTTCTAAGCCTCCCAGGATCCCCTGAGTCCATGGAGACTGGATTTGGGTGCCTGAAGTGAGCCGCGAGCACCCCAATCTGCTGTGAGTGGTTGAGTGGTTGAGGGCACAGGCACTGAATCATACCACCCTATTCCAAAGCCCAACTCTGTCGCTGCTAACATAATCTGTATGACTTCGAGGTGGCTGAGCCCCAGCTTCCTCGTTTGTAAGCTGTATTATACAATAATAAAATGTACCACCGAGGGTGGTTGCGAAGATGAAGAGAAACAGAACATCCACCTCGGTGCCTGGCACTGAGTAGGCACTCCATGAATGATAACTGCGATCGCCGTCATCCTCACTGCGAGGCACATGAGTGGGCTCCAGCCACGTCCCCCATCCTGGGGTGGGGTGGGAGGCATCTAAGGGTGGAGGCGGGAGAAGCTTTCATTCACTGTTGCCTGCAGGTGTTTCCTCTGAGGCGAGACTCCAATCTCCTCAATTGTTCCTTATGCAAATGTTATGCTAATGACACATCAGCACACCCCTGGGCCCAGTTTGGGGAAGGTGAAGGGTGGGTTGATTCCCCTAGTTTCACTTCTGCCCAGTTTGTCCCCTTCCAGCCCCCAAGGAGGAGCAACTCTTGGTCCTCTGACAACCCCAGTCCTCAGGGCAGAGAGAGAGGGAGAGAGAGAGAGAGAGAGAGAGAGAGAGAGGAAGGGAGAGAGAAACACCCCGATGGTGAGAGAAACAAAGAAAGGCCCCAGTCTTGGTAGGAGACGGACAGCATCATCATCGCCACAATCATCAACATCAAAAAGGCCTTTGGAAACGTCAGATTCTTCCCCGCCCTGTGCGGGCTACTCTACAATTACTGAGGCCCAGTTTAGGGCCCTGGGGAGCTGGGGGGGGGGGTGGTGAGGAGGAGTTTGGAGGAGGGAGGGGGAGAGCTAGGGTTTGCTAAGAGACAAGTGGCCATTCTCTTATTGTCCTTGAGGGCAGGGGCCGCACTTGGGGCCCCCCCCCCCCCCCCCAGCGCCCCAGCTTCTGACAGAGGGTAGGCTCACAAATAAAACAGAGAGACGCAAATAAGAAAGTGATCCTGAGTTGGCCACAGCGGGTTCTTGTCCTGCTCTGCTTTCACTTTCTTACCAGCTGCGTAGATTCACCTCTTTGTCTGGTTTCCCAGGCTATAAAATGGGCATCGACATTCCTGCTTCTCCAGGTTCTTGCAAAAATTAAATGAGATCCCATAGGCCTCAGTGAAGATGATCCACTTGGGCAAACAGAGTGATAGCCAAGGCAAAGCCAGTGCCCATCCCCGCTCTGTGGCCCCACATTAGGGTGGTCAAACAAAACTGGTCCCACCTTGCACCTGGCAATTTGATGTGTGATCAGTTTTCTGAACCAAGGTAGATAGTAAAATCAAATGGTGTGTGCCCTCTCCAACTAGGTGGGTTTGAGATTGGAGTCTCCACTGAACATTTAACCTGCCCTCTGAGTTAATGTTGGACAAGATTTACAATTGAACTGTAGTCTTCTGATGCTGTCCTCTGGATGGTCTAAAAACAGAGATGGGAGGGGATGTACAAGGATGACACTGTAGGCATCTGCTGCAGCAGCCAGGGGTGCTGACGAAGCCAATGTGGAACCGGCCTCTTTCCTGTGGGGAAGTCCGGCAGACACTGCTGTCGTTGTGCTGACATGTCCAGGCCTGTAGGCACCTCCACCATGACCCCTCCAGTCCCTGTAGAGAGGAACTTCAGCACTTGGAGTCTACTCGAGGGCAGACCCTGCCCTCAAGACATAATAGGTGCTCAATAAATACAAATTGGATGGACGGGGGAGACGGCCACGAGGACACTGCCAAATAAATCCCAAACTGTGCAAGCAGCAGGCCACTGTAATTAGACCAAGGAGGATAGTCAGTTATTAATATCAGACACGAGGCAGGGTTAACAGCCACTGAGGGTGGCTGTAATGAACAGAGAATCACCTCCTGTGCCCTCGGGGCCTTCCCTCCATGATGGCTTCCTGAAGAGGGCTGAAAAGGGCTGGTCGGCACCAAGTGCCCTTGCTGCCTCAGGATCTTCTGCTTTCCTGGTCCCCTAGATGGTGTTTGTCTTGGTGACCCACAATTAGAGTCCCTGCCTCTCCCATTTCTGCCTCCTTCCTGGAACCCCCACAGCCTTTTATCTCTCCTCTATTATGATGCCTATCAGTACAGAGCCCAATTAGACTTCTTTATTCCCAAGACTTATCTCCTCCATGGGATTCTAAACTCCCTGGGGACAGGATTTATCCTGTCCCCATTTCTGTGTCCCAGTGGTGGAAGCCAGCACACGGACCCTGACCATCACCCTTCTATAAGAAGGAGAAGGAGAGGGGGAGTTACAGAGAGAAGGTAGAGAAGACATGAGGGAGAGGAAGGGCAGGCTAGCTCAATGAGGGAGGGAAAGAGAGGAGAAGCAGGGAGAAGGAAGGAAGAGGGAAATAGCAAGGCAGCCATGTCTGTTCTCTGGGTCAGGGGACACAAGCCTAGCCCTGCCTTTGGTGTCCATAGTCTTCTTGGAAAGATAAGGAGACCCCCTGTCCTCCTGCCCTGTCGCTGGCACTGGTTCACATGTCCCTGGCTTGGACCTGTTCTCTTGGCCCTGCCAGTCCCCGTCCCCTCACTCCCTGGCTCTCCTTGGCAACCTGCCCCTGAGGAGGTGCTCCTGGGTGCCATCCAGCGGGTGGGGGCCGGGCAGGAACCACGCCAAGCCAGGGAGCACGGCCAGGAAGGAGTCGGCAAGGCAGATGCCGCCCCTCTCCTGCTGCCTTGATTAGAGAAATTGAGATGTTAATAATATTCCGAGATGCAAGGTGCTAATTAAAGTTAATTACTGTTTCCTTGTGAAGTAACCTCTCCTCGTGTTTACCAGGAGCAAGGCTGCCAGCCGCTCCCCTGGCTCGTGCCAATCACGATGCCCGCTGCTCGGTGTCCCCACACCCTCACAGGTGCCCTCAGCTGCCCCAACCCAGGCCAGGCGGACATCACTACCCGAGGTTGCCAGGTCCTGCCTCTTGGCATATCACCGAGCAGCCTTGCTGAGGAGCATGGGAGCACGTGAGCTTGAGTGTCCTGTGGAGCCCAGGGATGGGACTTGTGGCCTCAGTGGCTGCTACCCTGATCCTCTGTTCCTCCTGCAGACTCCTGCAGAGTCTCTCCCTGTCTCTCTTCCAGCTCCTGGACCGGGCGCAATTTACTTAACCTCTTAGAATCTCAGTTTTCCTATCTGTAAATGGGGCTAATAATTCCTACCTTGTACAGTTGCTGTGAGGATCACATGAGACACTGCCTATAAAATGCTCACCACAGTCACATAGCTGGAATTTAATAAGCTCTCAATTAAGGTTAACTGTGATTATTGTTGTCTTTGTTAATAATCCTCTCCCTCCCAAATCCCTCTTCTGTGTGGTCTGGCTTTGGGACTGGGGATGGGTCAGTTGAGTATACACAAGTCCTCCACACAACTGGGACAGCCCCCCCCCCGCCCCGCCCCCAGGCACACCGCACACAGGGTCCTACACCAACACACCTGGGAAGCACACACAACCCTTGTAGGGTGCCTCCCTCTCCCTGGCCCCAACACATCCTCTTATGGCGCCATCCCTAGTTTCAGCCTCACCCAGGGAAGTAGAGAGAAGAGGGAGGAACCTGACAGGGTTCTCTAAGAAGTAGAGTTCTGCAAAGCCCAGAATGTGTGTGTGTGTGTGTGTGTGTGTGTGTGTGTGTGTGTGTATGTACACACGTGCACGTGGACCTCCCTGCCCCCACCCCGACCCCCTATGTGTCTCTGCTCTTGTGTTCCAGGCTGCACAGGGCTTTGGGGGAGAGTTCACCCTCTTGGGATCCAAGTCAGGTTGCCATGACAACCACTGCAGGTGTGCACCTCTGATCTCCTCTGCTCCCCCATGACACATAGCCATTCTAGCCAATTCGGTTGGGGGGGGGGGGAGACACTAGCTCTCTGATGGGAGTCTCTCTGTCCTCACCCAGGCTACCACCACTGTCCCTTGCCTGCCTTCTGGGCTGGAGAGTGGGCCAGGGGACAAGGCAGAGTCCCGTGAAAGAATTCGTTCTTCATCCCCAGCTTCCTGTGGGGCTTAGAGCTAACGAGTGAATATTGCTGTCACCTTTGGTTTGGCAGGATGGAGGCTTCTGAAGGGGCCTCTCTGGGTATACCATAGGTAATCAAGGGGTTAAGACCTCTCTTCTATTTGCAAGCACCGCCCCTACTCAGGAGTATCTCAGGCTTTTGCTCTGAGGGAAGAACTGGCCAGCCCCTGCTGGGCCATTTCCTGTTTATGGGCCTGGAAGGGTAAGGGAAGGATAACTGAGGCTGGGCATCTGGGCCAGATTTGGGAGTGAGAGTGGGTCAGTGTCTGAGACACACTGATGACACCTGAAGGCCCTGGGAAACTGCCATGGCTCAGCCCTTCCTACACTCCACCCACTGTAGCCCCAGACCCAAATTCTAAGCCTAGCCTTGGTGAGAGCAGACCCTATCCTTGGCCCCTATCCAAGCTTAACTTCCTCCTGCCTAAAGCCCCTGCCCCTAGCCCCTCTGGGAGCCTGGATGCCTTCCCCTAGATCTCTTGCCCCCAGGCTCTAGCTCCTCCACCTCCACCGATGCTCTCTCCTCACACCCACTTCCCCAGTCCACCTCTCATCCCCAGGCCACCTCCTCCCCCCACCTTCCACACCTCCTTCCTGCTCTGTGCTCAGTCCTTCTGGCCTTTATCCCTACTCAGCTGTGGCCCACCAGCCCTCTCTCTTGCTCCCTTTTCTTGCCGTTCCTACAGAATCCCCAAATAGATTTCCTCTTCATTTATTCATTCGTTCATTCAGTAAACATTTTGAGTGGTGATAAAGAAGTTAAACAAGATTCTTGCCCCCTGCAAGCTTTTATTCTAGTGGGACGAGACAGAAATTGAACACATAAACAAATAAATGAAATGACGATAGACTGGGATAAGGTCAAGGAAAAGGACAAAGGGGAGCTATGACAGAGACCACAAGGGCACCTTCTAATCCCCTACTTAGTTATGGAGGCAGAAGGGTCATAGAGAGTGGGGAACAGGGGCCACCTGGAGGCAGAGGTTTGGCAAAGGCGGTCCTCCCAGCTCATCTGTAAGCAGTGCACTCTGAGGCCAGACCTTGTTGCTATCCACCCACTCCCACCTGCTGTAATGGATACCTTCCTCTTCAGTCAACCTCCTCAGACCTCCCCCCTGCCATCCCCACCCCATCCCCGCCCCTGCTCCCACCCCACCGGCTCTTTCCAGCTCCTGGGCTCCCCTGATAATGCCGAGGAGGTGAGGGGCAAGAGCATCTGTCCTTGGGGGATCGAAAGGGGAAACTGAATGAGCAAGAAAAGCGTGCCCATGTCAAAATACAGCTTCAAACCTGAACAAACTACTACAGCTGTAAGAAATAAAATATGCATGTGCTGAGGGGTTTTGGAGGGATCATGGCCAGGAAAGGGTTCATCGGGGCAATTTTCTGTAGGCGCAGCACTTTGAAGGTTGGAGCACGTGCAGAGGGCACTGGGCATGTGGAAGAGCTCCAAGCCACATGGAATTGCAAGCATATTCACAAACACAGCTCGGGGACTTTGCCCTTCCCAGTGCTGCAGCCCCATGAAATATTTAGGTTTCTGGACATTGCTCATCCCTTATTGTCCCCCTCAGCAAGTACACTTCCCCTACATCATTTATGGCTGTCCCCTTTCCTCCCTTGGAGTACTGCAGAAAAGGGAAGATCAGATCCCAAACTGGAGGAGGGTCTGTCCTAACCCTGTGGCAAGGGGGCAGGATCCATGCCTAACTTCTCACATAGCCCTCCCCGCACTGCATAGGCAAGGAGGGTGAGTCTAAGAGCTAAGAGGTCATTTTCAGCCTGAAAGACTGAGGAAGCAGAATAAGGAGAGAGTTTGGAAGATGCAGATGTCCTGGTTCCAGAAGGGAAAGGAAAGGAGTCTGGGAGTGATGAGAAAAGTTGCATTTATTGAGCGCTTACAATTTATTGGACTAAGCTGGTTACATGCACCATCGCCTTAAATCCACACAAAAAATTTAGGATTTATTATCCCCATTTCATAGCTAAGAAACTGATGCTCAGAGAGGTTAAGTGACTTGTTCAAGGCAGTCCAGACAGTCCAGCTTCAGAAGCTAAGCTCCACAGACTCCAGCGAGGTCTCTCCTTAGTTGGGGTTGGGAAGGGGGAGGGGGTCAGGGGAGTCATGCCAGGCAGTGTCTGTCCCCTTCCCTCCTACTCCCAGAAGATGAGGCTGCTTTCAGTATAATCCCCTCTCCCTGCTCTCCCTGCTCCTGGTTCAGCCCCAGCCAGAACTCCTAAATACTTCACCTGTTTATTATTCAAATATTGCTGGCCAGAGACTGGGAGACCCTGAGGAAAGGTGAAGAGGAAGGTGAGGAGATAACAAGGGAGAGCCAGAGAGAGTAAGAGGTAGAGCAAGAGACAGAGAGAGACACAGGGGCCAAGCAGAAAGCAGGGGCGTTTGAGGGAGCACTGGTGACAGAAGGCCAGGATGTACAGTGACCCACAACCTGGACAGTTAGAGCTCAGCCCATCCACTGGCCGGTGATGGAATGGATGGAAGGTGATCGAAGGAACTCCTACTCCCCACCCCCAGCTCTGTCTCCACCCACCCTTCCACCTTCACACCCGAGCTTCTCCTTCCCCTCCCCCACCATCTTCTCAGGAACAATTCTAATTAGACTAAGTGACTAAGAGGAGGTTTCAGCCTGAGCAGCCAATTAGGCCTGGAAGAAGGGAAGGGAGCCCCCCCCACCAAGTCTCCCACCCCCACCCAACCCCCTCATCTGTCTTTTACCTGGACCAAGTATTCTTAGCCCAGGACTCCAGACTGTCATTCAAGTTTCCCTGATACTCCTCCTCCCTCACTGCCCACTGTGCCCCATTACCTGTTTCCAGACAGCCCCCAGCCCACTGCTTAGTCCCCGTCTTGAGCCCCTCCATCCTCAGGCCTTGAGTCCATTCAAGAGTCTCTGGCGGGGGGGGGGGGTGGGGGGGTGGTGGTGGTGGTGCAAGGAAAGAGTGGGGTCCTCCTTGGGAGGCTGTCTTTCTGAGTCTCTTTATTTCTGATGTTTCTCCTCTGTCTCTCCCTCTCTCTCTTCTCTTCCTCTGGCACTTATTTCTAACATCCGTGGACCAGGCCTACTGGTTGCCATGGAGACGCAGTGTGCAGCTGGATGGTGAGTGTGTGAGAGGAGCTGTGTGTGCTCTGCAGCACGGGGCGGGGTGGGGGTGCCGGTTGCTGCGTGTGAAACGTACCCATGTGCAAGAAATCTTTCTTCGAGGTTTCTTTCCCTGAAGGGAGACCCAGACCAAGGGGGAGACTCCCAAAAGGCCCCAATGATCCTAAAACACTTGGTGATATTCATCAGGGACACATCCTCCCCCGCAGCCCCTGCAGGTCAGATACTAAATTCTGTTCAGTCCAGACTGTGGACCGGCAGATTCTGGAGGGGCCCCAACCTGCCCCTCCTGTCTGAGGAGAGGATTGGGAACCCTGGGAAAGGAGCAGGAGTGGGCAGAGGACTTTCCTGTACAGAACAGCTGGAGTACAGATTAAGCTGTGCAGATGGACCTACTGATGAGGCCAGCAACCCCCCAACACCACTCCAGGGGCTGCGGGTGGGGAGGAAGTTGGACCAGCAAGCTGGAAAATCCCCTCCATTTCTATACATCTTACCCTGTATTTGTCCAGCCGGTTGGGAGAGGTAAGAGACCTAGTTTCCTGCCCTCAGGAAGCTTAGCATCCTAGAGGCATCAGGCTAACCCCTTTATTGTCTCCCACCCCAGGGCCTTGGCAGCTGCCCTTTCCTTCGCCTGGAATGCTCTGTTCTGAGCTTTACATCTCCAGGTTTCCTCAGATAAGCTACTCAGGCCACAGTGAGTAAGGCAGCCCCTTCCTTTCCCCCACCTCCAGTTATCCTCCTTCATGTCCTACTGTTTGTTTCCTTCACGGCACTTTAACACAATCTGTAATTATCTCATTTGTTTGTTTGTTTATTGTCTGTCTTCTCTACTGGAATGGAAGTTCCAAGAGACAGTAGGGATCATGCCTGTCTAATTCAGTGCTGTAATGCCAGCACCTGGCACCGGGCCTACCACATAGTAGGTGCTAAATATGTGTTCAGTAAAAGAATGGACAAATTCTTTCACTGAAGTGCCACAAGAATCCTCGGTGATGGTGAGCATTATTATTCCCATTTTACAGATGAAGAAATGAAGGCTCAGTCACCTGCCCAAGGTCATACCACTAGGAAGCAGTACAGCCAGATTTCTAATGTAAGTCTCTGATTCCAGATGTGAGGGAAGGAGGTAGGGACCATCTTTCCTAACCTTCAATGCACCTGGCTCCTGTTCCTGTTTGTCTGTGGGTGTCTCTACTCCCATCCCAGGCATCCCCACAGAAACCTGTGCAGAAAAGCGAGAAGGACAGTTAAAACCTGTAAAGAATGTGAATTTGGGGCACCCGGGTGACTCAGTTGGTTAAGCGTCTGACTTCGGCTCAGGTCATGATCTCATGGTTCGTGGGTTCGAGCCCCAGACACACTTTGTGCTGACACCTCAGAGCCTGGAGTCTGCTTTGGATTGTGTGTCTCCCTCTCTCTGCCCTTGCCCTGCTCTCTCTCAAAAATAAACAAACAAACAAACAAACAAACAAACAGAACAAAAGAATGTGAATCTGACCTTTTTTTTCCAGGATCTCTCAATGGCTCCTCTTTCCCTCCTTAAGTTGACCAGCAGGGCCTTCTAATTCTGCACCACCACCATCCCCCTTCCTTTTCAACTTTACCTGCCCTCCTCAGTTACCTTCCCCTCCTCCTACCCCGGGTCCTTTCACACACAACTCCCTCAGCCAGATCTGTCCAGCTGGGACACCACCCCTTCCAGGAAGCCTTCTGGACTCTACTGGAGGAGACACCTCCTTTAGCATTCCAGCCTAAATTTACAGCTCAGGGCAGGGCTGAACACATGCTGTGGTTATTATTTACCTGTTTGCCTTTCCCATAGAGACCGTGTGTCATTCTTGGGGTATCCCAGTACCCTATGCTGGGCTGGCACAAGGGACAGGCTCAGGAAGTGTTTACAGAATAAGTGATTCTAATATCCATGTCTCTTGACCCCTGACATCTTTTCCAGGGTTAGACCTTAACAGGAGCTCCTTACCCTCAACGTGGGGCTGAGTCAGGGGTGGGGATGTTGTGAGGTCCTCCTGTTGATTCACTGCTTCCTTTGATCAAGTGAAGCCTCAAGGTTAGGGCTGGTCACTCTGGCCAGGTAGAGGGAGGGTTTGTGATTCTGTAACTGGAGGATTGGTGGGGGGCCTGCGGGTTGCTCACTGAGCTGGAGAGCTGACCTGATCCCTTGTGAATTCAGAGGCTGCCAAAGGTGCCTCAGCCCTTCCAGGCCTCCTCCCACCCCAGGCTCTGGAGCCCCTGGTCCAAGCCTGATCTTGATGGTGTCTTCTTCATCCCCCCACTCCAGCCCGTCCCGTCCCTCACAGAAGATCCAGCCACTGGTCACTGAATGTAGTAAGGGGACCTGGGGTGGGCGCCCGGCCCTGCGAAGCCTGCGTATGGGAACGGATGAAGGGGCGCCTGCGACCTCTGCTGTACCCGCAGTCGATCCGGGTTTACACGGAGGCTCATCCAGGATTAGTCCCTGCGCTCGGCTAATCCCAGCCTCCCAGCCGCTGAACCGACCCCGGGGTCGAGGAGCCAGGCCCATTCTGCGCGGGCGGGAGGACGGGGCTCGCAGGAGGAGCGGAAGCGCAGGCGGGCGGGGGTGGGGGGGAGGGGGAAGAAGGGAGGGGCACCCCGGGAGGCGGGGCCGGGAAACCGGCTGATCCGGTCTCTGTTCTTCGACCTCTCCGGAGCCAGTGTTTACCGGGGAGCCGGACGGAGGAGGCCGGGGCCGCTCGGGCCCGGACGCGGGGGGCGGGGAGCGCAGTCGGAGACTGGGGTGAGACTTTTTCAGGTCCCCTAAATCGATCTCCAACCCTGGTTCCTGAGTGTGGGACGCAGCGACAGATATCTCTCACCCCTTCTTCCATTCAGATCCGTAATTCATACTTGTTGCTAAATGAAAGGGGGAATGGAAAAGGATACATGCCCCGTGGAAGAAGGCAGCACAGCGTGACCTTCCCCCGCGCCGGCGTGTGGCCGTGGCCCCCCCCCCCCCCCCCCCCCCCCCCCCCCCCCAGCCCTCACCTTAGCTCGCAGCGGGACTGGGATTGCCTGGAGCGGGTTGGGCCAGCGGATTGGTTGGGGGAGGGGCCACTTTGACAAGCACAGAGTAGATGTCTGTCCTCAATCTGCGTCCTTTTGGCCCCCATTCCAGAGTGGCACCGGTTGATCTCAATGGGTCTCCGTCCCTCCTTTCGGCCGCGTCTCCTGGCCCCCTCAAAGGCCTCTAACCCAGTCTTAGCCCCCAGTCTTCCCGGGACCCAGGCCTGAGGGCCCGGAAGAAGCGAGGTGGGGTCCGGTTTTCACACTTTTATTGTAAAGCTTGGGAATAATTACACGGGTCTTCCATTGACAGCTCAGCAAACAAACCGGAAACGAACCGAACCGGAGGGGGTAGGGGCGGTGCCTGCGCATGCTCGCGGCGGGGGAGGGGGGGTCAGAGAAAGAGAAAGACAGAAAGAGACAGAAATCATTACAAATCAACGGGATTGTGCTCGCAGCGCCAGGGATGGGAGGCTAGTGAGGGCGGGGCGGGGGCCCTTCCCGGGAGGAGCGAGGCGGTGGGAAGTGGCACGAACCAAGAGAAACACGACCCCAGTGTGGGCACCCGATGAGCCCAAAACCCCCCTCCCCGAACCCCACCCCCCAACACACGAGAGAGACACGGCCCCCCTCCCCACTCAGATAACCCGAGGAGACACAGTCTCCCTCTCCCCACGGGCAGACACACCCGCCCGGGAACCCCATGGGCGAGACACAGTCCCCCCTCCCAGAGAAGTCCCGCATGGAGACGCCCCCTAAGAGACTTTCTCATGGCCAACAAAAGCCCTCCAACACCAGGAGACAGCCCACACCCAGGGAAGAAATGGCTCCAGAGGCCGGGTCCTCAGGAGGGAGAGGTATCCCAGAGCCTCCAGGAGAAAAGACAACTCAGAGCTGCCCAGTCTCTTCCCAAAGTGCTGCAGGTCAGAGACACCCCCAGAGGAGAGATACAGGGAGGGCCAGAAACATCCCTTCCCAGACATGCTGCAGAGATAGCCCCCTTCCCTGGGAAGAGAGATGGCCCAAGACTGACATGCCTTAAGTACTCCCAGGAACCCTGGGAGGAAAACAGGCTCCCCAGAGAGCCTGGGTAGGGGGGAGACATACTCCCATGGTCCCCAGAGGGAATACATGTCCCTCCAGAGACTCCCAAAGGGAGAGATAGGGCCTAGGGAGCCCCCAGAGGTGAGAGATGCCCCAGAGACCCTCCCCCAGGGATGTGAGACACACTTCAGGGACCCCAGGAGAGGTCCCATATACCCTCCCCCTACCAAGAGACATGCTCTGAAGTAGGGGGTTGGGGACCAACTAGGTCCCCTCTAGGAAGACACTGACTGGGTCAGGCTGGGTTTGAGGGGGTCTCCTCTGGCCAAATGTCGCCTATTTGTACATAAAACTGTACGCGACACAAGGCATTGGGGAAGGGTTTCACAGACCTAGGACCAATGGGGGTGATCCCCAGTGCTGTCACCCATCCCCTGCCCACCTTTGGTTTCACCTCTCGAGTGCCCAGGTGGTGAAAGACTCAGCACCCTGACCCCAACCAGGGGGCCAGGACTCTGCCTTGGCCTGTGGGAAGGGCTCCCCCTCTGTGCTTCTCAGCCCTCCCAGCCATCTGGGCTACCCCCTTCCTTCTGGCTTTTCCATTGTGCAAAATGCTCCTCTGCCCTTCCACTCAGTGCTCAGGGGTCTCCAAGACCAGGGCAAGGTGCCCAGGCCACCAGGGGCTTCCAGGGGAGTCCATTGACTCCAGGAATGCCTCCTGTCTGGACCACCCTCTCCACCAAGCAAATGGGCCTCATACAATCTTCTTGCCAGAATCCTGACCTCCAGGACCCAGGACAGCCCTTGAGGCTACTGCCCCACCAGCTGGGCACCTCATGTTACCAACTCCACCGCTATTGCACCTGCCCTGTTTGTGCAGGGGAAGGGGGCTGTCTCTTTAATAAGCCCCCAGCCCACTTCTGGGCCTCCCCCAGGGAAAGGAGCCTTTGGCCAACCCCCAGACCTGGTTGCTGCCACCCCAGCCCACTCTACCCTCTTCCCTCAATAGAAGGGCTGTGTATGCTGAGGCCACCAGCCTAACAATGCTCTCCTTCCCAGCACTGTTACCCCAAGCCAAGTTAGGGGCAAGGAGCAGAGAATAGGGTGATTCTTCAGGCCCCTGGCTTTTCTAAGGTGGAGATGGGGTCTCTGGGGTTACAGGAGTCAAGACCCCAGCAGCACAGCTCCCAAAGGCACCAGACGACCCAGCAGCCTGTAACCACCCCCTCCCACCCTTGGGCTGCCCCCCAAGCTTAGACTAAGTCAAGCAAAGGCCATACCCTGAGTCTCCAGCCTCCCAGCCTGGGCCCCTGGGGAGCTGGAGAGGTATGGGCCAAGGCAGTGGGGGTTTCTGGAAGGGAGAGGGACTGAGGCTTTGAGATGGCCACAGTGGGAGATGGGGGCTCTGCAGGATGCCCCTCACACCCTGGCCCCCTGAGGTGCAGAAAGGAATCCCACCTCATCATGGCTGACTGGGCTTCTCTGCCCCCCAATCTCCCCACCCCCTCCCCCATGGGACCCCTGACCCTGGCAAAGGGAAGCCCAACTGGAAGAAGGGGGCCTGGAGCCCAGGGTGCCCTGAGGCAGCCCTTCCCACCCCCTGAGATCAAGGCAATGGTGGTTTTACAGGCTGACGGGTCAGTCATGGCAGGGGCTGGGGGTTGGGGGGCAGGGAGGGGGCAGGGTGCAGGTTCCCCCTGCTGGGGGCAGCGACCAGCCACCCCTTGAGCAAACCTTCCTGCTCCCAACTCACCCAACCAGGCCAGAGGCACAGTCATCCCACCCCTGTCCAGCTGCCCCCCACAGCCTCAGGGCCCCTCTGTGATGCTCATCTGGATGTGGGGGGGCCAGCCTGAGCAGGGAT